CAGCTGGCCATGGCGCGCTCAAAGCCGCTGCTCGCGTTGCGCGCGCTGCGAAAGGCGCTCATTGGGGGGCGGCCGGGGGGGGCGGGGGGGAGTCTGACGTTTCCCTGACGTTTCCTTCCGTGAGATGCGGCCGCTTCAAGAGTGCACCGAGGTGGTCGATGAGAGGAGGGGGGGGGACCTAGAGTGGAGGTGAGTCTGCCCGACTGCTGCGACAGGCGCTCTCGCTCGGCGCCGCGGACGCGCAGGTGCACCGCAGCGCCGCCCGCTTCCTCCACCTGTACCGCGCGGGCGGCGCGGCGCTGGCGCCTGCGGTAGCGACGGTGGTGGAGCGGCACAGCGCGCAGATTCTGGCGGCGGCGGGACTGCCGACCGGGGCGACGGCCGAGGCGTACAACGACGCCTTCCTCGCGCGCGCGGGGGGCGGCGCGGCTGCGGCGGCAGTCGCCCACGCCGAGGTGCGCGCGCTCGTCGCCCCCGCGCAGGCGGCCGCGGCTCGCGAGGCGCTGGCGAGTCTCGACCTGCAGCAGGCTTCCTAGCCCTGGCCCTGGCCCTGGCCCTAGCCCTAGCCCTAGCCCTAGCCCTAGCCCTAGCCCTAGCCCTGCCCCTGGCCCTAGCCCTGGCCCTGGCCCTAGCCCTAGCCCTGGCCCTAGCCCTGGCCCTAGCCCTAGCCCTAGCCCTAGCCCTAGCCCTGGCCCTAGCCCTGGCCCTAGCCCTAGCCCTGGCCCTAGCCCTAGCCCTAGCCCTAAGCCCTAGCCCTGGCCCTGGCCCTAGCCCTGGCCCTAGCCCTGGCCCTAGCCCTGGCCCTGGCCCTGACTCGATCCCCGACCTCCAGCAGGCCAGCCTAGCGGTGTGCAAGGAGGCCCTCGCCCTCCTCGAGCCCGGAGGCGCGCTCGCGGACGCCGCTGCCGCCGCCGCCTTCCGACAAAAGGCGGTGGCGCGGTTCCCGCACGCGCCGGCCTTCGGCGGCGGCAGCGGCGACGAGCCTCCCCCGCCGCCGAGCGGAGAGTGAGCGCGCGGCGGGCGGGAGGGGAGCGTTGGGGGGGGGATGCGGAGCCGGCCGATCGGAGTGGTCGTTCTCTCTGACGACATTCGGCGCGCCCGCCTGGCCCCTGCTCCCCTCCTGCGCCCGTCCATCCCCCGGCGGCTCCGGCCGACACCGCGCCGAGGCCGTGGCGCCGCTGTCGCCACCGGGCCGGGGGACCGGGCCCCTCGCATGACGCTTCTCTTACCGTCCTGGCACGCCACTACACCGGGACCGGGGTTTACGGCGACCTCTCGTCCCTCTCCATCTCTTTTCTCACCCGTCCGCTCTGCAGATCAGCGGTGGTGGCCATGTGTGGCGATCCCATCGCCCTCGCAAAGAGAAGATAATACAGACGTGCTGTTTTTTCTCGTGCAGTTAGAGGGGGGACACCCGCCTCTGCTCTATACCTAATAAATAAATAAACAAATACTAGACACAAATACCAAATTCCAAATCGCAAAATAGTGAACCCCAAATACAGGCGGCGACGCGTGGCATACGAGCTCGTAATAAAAAAACTGTACTGTGAGATGGGTAAAAATAAATAAAACGGTCAAACTCTGAGACGAGATGGGATTTAGGGACATGTGTCCCCGCCCGCTCCCACCCGCTAAGGTAAGGTAAGGTAAATTTCTCCACACACACAAGTGGTGGGGCACTAGGGGGGGCGACCCTCGCATCTCCACACCCGGACACGGGCAGGAGCCCCACGGCATTCAAAGTGCACAAGCACTGGCCCGGTGCACGTGGGTGAGCAGCCTGCCCCTCCCTCCCGCTCCCCCCGCTGCGCGGCAGGGCCCCTGGCCCTGCCGGCCCCTGTGCCGCCCCGCACGTCTTTGGTAATAAAATAAATAAACAAAAACGGACACCTCTCTACTGGGTAAAAAGGAGCAGGTCCCCGCCCGTGCGATCTTTGTGCAGGGTTCTTTTTGTGGCTCCAGTGGTGTACCTGTGTTAGTGCCAGTGCGCGCCAGTCCCGTGCCCAGTGTTGTGCGAGGGAGTTTTGTTGTAAAATTCTTTGTGCGGGTCCCTGCTGCTCCTAATCTCTTCGTACATCCTCCTGCTGATCTCCGCAAATAGTCCTGCTTCCTCCCTCGTCTCGCCCTGCGCGTCTGCTCCGCCTCACCGTCTTCTGCCCTGCGTCGTCTGGCGACGGGTCCTCCATAGTCGGTCGAGGTCGCCGCCCTCCTCGTGCCTCTTCCCAACGTTCCCGCCTCGGCGGCCGATGCCGTCTGCTCCGGCTCCCCAGTCCCCGGGTCTGCCCTGCTCTCGTCTGCGCTAGAGTCTCTGCTTCGTCACCACCGGCGTCTCTCCTCCTCCTTCTCCTCTTCTTGTATGCTTCATGCTTCGCACATCGCGTCGGTTCCTTTTCGTGTGAGCACCAGCCTGAAGCCCGCCCAGCAGCTAAACCGCTCCCTAAGTCGAAGCTCGAAGGAGCATCATTAGTCTCACCCACTTGGCTCGCTGTACCGTCTCCGCTCCCTCCCGCTTGAGCCGCCGTCGCGGCCCTCGTTCGTCCCACTGGCAGCTGGCCTGTCTGCACGCGCATCCTTCCTGTGCTGCTCGCTCGCCAACTAACTCTCTGTCGGTTACTGGACCGTCACGTCTTCGACCCGTCGAACAACGTTCGACCATGGCACTGTTCACAGCGCGCGCGGACGGCGGCTCTGCGCGTTCCGCTCAGCAGGACTTTTGTAAAGCGTGCTTTGTTGTGGCAGGTTACAGACGCTAGTATCGACCTCAGAGACCCAAACCCGAATAAATATATAAGGGTCAAACCATGGTCGAACATCCGTCGAACACAGGTCGAACAACGAAAAGAGACTAGTGCGACCGCTAGACGACGGTCTCCGCCGGCCCCGAGGCTGCCCAGCCCCAGTACCACACCGGCCACGTGCACCGTGGCGCTGCAGTCGGTCAGTGAGGCACTAGACGGGCTACGGAACCATGCGCGCGCCGGGCTCGTGCGCCGCCTCGATTTTGCATCTCTCCGCTCCGCGGCCGACTGAGGGGCCAGCTCGCCCGGCGACAAGGCCAGCCATCGCCCAGCGCCCCGTACCGACGGGGGCCACGCAAAAAAACCGCACCTACGACTAGGCTGAGCACGTGAGGGGGGGCGTCGGTGTCGGCCGCGGGTGGGCTGCGAGGTCCGAGGAGGGCGCGGGTGGGAGCATGGGAGATGCACCACCGCTCGACGAAGACGCGCCCGACGAAGCCCCGCTGGCGTAGGATGGTCGATCCTCACCTAATAGCGTCGAGCATGTGCGAAAAAGAGCGCAAATCGGAGCTCAACTCGCGCGCGGCGGGAAAGAGGTGTGGCGAGGAGCTGCTGCACTGCCCCCAAACGCGCTCGGGCAGCACGTCGGCGCGCCTGCGGGGTGAGTGGAGGTGAAACTAGGCTTGCTGGCACGCACATCCCGCACCACCCCCGCGCCCGCGCGCACCATGCCGCCGTCCCACCTCACAGCCAAGCGCGATCGCCGACGCACGCAGCGACGCCGAGCGGTGGCCTCGCAGACGACGAGCGCGATGAGGCCGCCGCGCCGCCGAGGTGGCCGGCGCGTGCCAGCCGCTGGCCCGTCCAGCGTGGCGGGACCGGCTCGCCTATCCGCTTTTTTGGCAGCCTCGCGATAATCACATTTTGAGACCCTGGGAAGCTCCTCTTTTGAGGGAGTCCGTCGCTGAGGCGCCGTTCGCTCGGCGGGCCGCCGGTATCTTTTCGAATGCGATCTCGGGCGGGAGCCCTTGAGAGCCCTGACGAATTACGGCAGGTTTTTGGATTTCGTTTAAAAGAAAGGCGGTCCTTTCTTTTGGGGCGGGGTACGAGCGAAAAAGAAGTACTCCAAAAAGAAGAAGTGCACGCCTCCGTGGGGGGGGGGGGGGGTTCGGGGCGGGAGGTGTCGGTGTCAGTCGAGAGAGGGCTTGGACCTTCGTTGGCTCGCCTTTGGCTTAACGGGCGTGTGAGAGAGAGAGATTTTTATTAACCAACAAGAAATCACGACTCTCACAGTGATTTGGGCTTCTTCTTCTTGGCGTGTGTATTTCTTGTGTATTTCTTTTTCAAAAAGAAAGTTCCCCCCGGATCCCCGCCCAATTCCTGGGCGTATACAGTTGTAGGAGCACGCTCAAACCCACGCGCCATCCCCCTTTCCTCATTCCCCTCCCGTTGCCCCCCCCCCCCCCCTCCCCGACGCTCCTTTTATTTTCCGCGTCATCCCCCCGGTTTGGGGCTCATCATCAACTATGGGTTTCTTTTTCACAAGATGCAAACCAACCGCGGTAGGTTTGCATCTATTTTGGCGCGAACGCCCATCTATTTTGGCGCGAACGCCCGCCGGCGCCGCCTTTCAGTCAGAGCCGCCGTACCCTGGCTGGAAGCCCGGCGAAGCCCAGCTGTGTGGGAAACCAAGAAGAAAGGGGAAGGGGCACCGCGTCGCACCTCTTCGATGCCCCCAAAAGGAAAAAAACATACATCAAAGAGGCGGCCCGAGTCCGAATTCTTCTTACCGACTCGGAGCCGAGTCTCGCCGAGTCTCGCCGGCTGCAAATGCTGCCTGGTCGGCCGCCGCTGAAGCGGGTGCGCCTTTACCCCGACCCACGTGCCCCGGCCGCGGCCGGTCCCTCGGCGCACAGCGCCGCGGGCCGCTCGGGCCGCGCCGAGGACAGCGCCGAAGCCCGCCGACGCCGCTCGCCTGCGCAGCGCCGCCGCTGCCCTGCGGCACTGCCGCCCATCGCCCGGCCCTCACCGTGCCACCGCCCACTCGACCGACGCCGCCCGCGCCTCTTCCCATAGGCGGGGTGAGCGGCCGGCGGCTGCACTCGACGGCGCGGCGTCGTGTCGGGCGCTGCGGAGAGCGCGTGGCTGCTCCTCGATCCCGACGAGGACAACGGATCGCCGCTGCGCGGCTGGACCGCGTCTTGCGACGCCGCATGCCGCCGGCTCAAGCCCGTCGATCTACGTGCGGTGCGGCTGCAGTCCGAAGGCGGCGGCGGCGGCGGCGGCGGCGGCTCTGACGGCGCTCGGCGGCACCGTTGCCGACTACGCGGAGATGCTCGATGCGCTCGACGACGCGCTCGACGTCTCCTCGCCGCTGCGCGCCGACTCGCCGGTCTCGATGCAGGTGTGCGCGCCTCTCCGACCGCGTAGCAGCAGCCCCCTCCGCTGCGTGGCCAGGAGGCGCAGCGGCATCCCCGCCCGACGGTCTTGTCCACCCCGCCGTGCGGCGGCGTTGCGTGCAGGTTCTCGTCGCCGCAGCGGCCGACCGTTCGCAGCTTCTCCTCAAGGCTGACGACCATCAAGAGCCGTAAGAT